ATGACACCGAACCGAACAGGGCAAAAGCGTAGCAGAAGCACGTAAAGGAGCGGGAGCACTAAGCAACGTTATAGACCAACGTTGCTAAACCACTCAGTTGAAAAACTGCCATAGAGCCTGCTCTCAAAAACTGGCACCGATCCGTACTCGCGAACCGAGCAAATGGCGATAGCAACGCCGCCATTTCTCCCGCAGCGGCCACTCGAAGAACTGCACGTGACTTCTATTTTGGCTCTAATCGGTCATCTCGCCGAAATAGACACGGTAGAAGGGGTTGCAGGGATGCCACCCCGGTTTCCCGAGCGGACGAGCCGCGAATTACGATCGAAGTTAGGACGCGCCTAGGTCGGGACGCGCTACCTGAAATCACCGCTGAGGCATGGTTGTATAAAAAATATATTAGTTGTGCCGCAAAACCTTGCAAACTAAAGATTTTAAGAACATCACACGCCCTTTAATTTGTACTAAACTCCAATAAACGTTACTACAAAATAGTTTTTTTTTCCGCTGTTTTAATACGCAAAAACATGCTTAAAAGCTCAATAATAATAATTGGGGTTGTGGGAATATTTATACAGCGTGTAGTTGGTCAGCCATTAAAGTTGTGACTAGTCACACGCTGTTGATGAGCAATTTAGCCAGTTCAGTACAACCGCTAGCCCGGGGTCTTTAACGTGCTCACGCAGTAGTGATACACGACCGCACGCCGGTACAATGCTCATCCAGATCGAAACGGGCAGGGGTGGGGCTTGAACCCAGGATCCCTGGGCTCTGCAGCGCGAGGTTTCGCTCCACGCGCGTCGAGCTGGGTGTGCGCTTTAGCCCACTCGGCAACCGATCCCCCCTTAAAAGCTTAACGTGACCACAGTACAGACAAATGATAAAGAGTGGCGCTGTTGTCGTATTTAGCTCGGTCTCGGTGGACGCCGGCGGCCCAGATTTCAACGGCGAGTTTCCCGACCAAGGAGGATAGAAGGGTAGGAGAGGGCATGCCGTCAGCCGCGTAGACTCGACAAGCCATGCTCCCTTGACGCCTCGCCTCTTTCTTACTTTCCTCCTTACTTTCCTCACTTATCAGGCCGACGTGACCATATCACGTGACCGTAGCTAGCCTTCATCTAGCCTTCGATCTGATAAAACCTACCGGACGGAGCGCGCGCAAGCCTGCAAGGGGTCCTTCTACAATCAACCATCCATCTCACACGTGACATGTCACGCGCACCAATTGCCGGAGAGATCTACGATCACGTTGGCCACAACATCGTTTAAAGTTTTTATGACTAGTAGGCTTCACCAATATTGCAACGTGCCCTCTCCTAGTACTTATAACTCTCCTTGTTCCGAACTGAGTGCTTTAGTAACGTTGGTTAGATACATAGAGATCATACATACTAACTCTAGAGGAAAAGGTCCGCCATTTTCCCATACATTCTGGCTGCCGCAAGCGGCGGATCATGCAGGCAGACCTTCTGGGTCCCAAACACGGTTACATCATCAGAGCAGTTTCGTGAACTTCAACAATTCACAAACTTACCGGTGGAAAGATATTCACGTTCCTTTCGAAGCTTTCTTTTTGAAAAGCGCGCAGATGTACGGCCTCGCGTTAACGCTAAACTAAACCATATACCCGGCTTCGCCAGTGGGGCGCGGCTGGGCGCGGTTGAGGAATACGAAACTGCGCAACCACCAGATTTCCGAGATTTCGACAGAAGGGAAGTTAATGCAGCGTAATGAGTTTATTGCTTTTTATAAGCGTTAGAATAGCTCATAATTTAGTTTACAACGTTAAATTATCACTGTTTATATTGCTAAGAGTTTTCACTCTTCGCGTTACCATGGCAACGTTGCTTTCTTTCTCTCGTGTTCTGTCGCTCTCTTTTGCGTTCGTTCACTCGGGACCCAGGATGTCGGCGCACGGGATTTGCCACTCCTCCTCACCCACCTTTACCCCCCCTGGTTAGATAGGACTGAAGCGGGAGACGCCCAGGGTTGCCGCTAATCAACAAAAAACCACTTTGCTTGGGCTTGAAGTGGACTTTGTTAGGATCATTCGACTAAACTCGTCAATTTGTCTTTTTTTAATATATTGTTTGCTTCAGAAAAACTTTAAAAAAATATTTGTATCGACAAAATAATAGTTTTCTGGCGTGAACATGATTTATTGGTTTTGTACCGAGCTAAGAGACTTCAATCGCTCTAAACATCGTCTAAATGACATTTACGTGCGCTGTCTGGCACGGCAGAACGTAAAATTTGAAAATCCTAAAGGCCTTTGGCGTAAATCTCCTTTCAGGTGCCCGTCTGACAAGGGTATTAACCTACAGGATTTTCCGAACACGCGATCGGTTCTCCGGTCAATGCTCCCGTGATATAATGGGGACTTTTATAGCCGCGTCCCACTAGACCGACAGACAGCGACAAACGACAGCGACACACGACAACGAGCGACAGGCGACACCGACGGACAGCCTGTTTGTCGGAGTCCGCCGTCCCACCTGGCGGACACGGTGCGGAATGCAAAGACAAGGAAACTTGTTTCCCAGTGGGACTGGAGTTGTCAACAAAACCGTTCAAAATACACAGACAAACCGAGTCTGGCGACGCGGTTTTCGTGTTTTGCTCTTTGGGCGTAAAACGCGCCGACAAACACGGTGAAAGTGGAGACGATTCCTCTATTTCTTGATTAAAGCTTTCGCTTGTCTTCATTTGCCGTTAGCGACTTTCCGTCGTGACGGTCGTGACAACCGACACCAAACTTTTTACGAACTAGCAATTCCGAATTTTTTTTTCTTTTTTTTTTAAGGGGGGGGGTCGTTCGAGGAATTCTAGGTGAGCGCCACGGAATTTCACGCCGATTTTGAGGATGTTTATAACTTCATATCTGAATGATCGAGGGCAGGCGTTTTTCGGAGGGACAATACGGCATCCCGATTATCACAGAACGGGATGGCAAGCCTCTCGTTTGCCGGAATGGCTTGCCACGGAAATGGCGGAACATCGTGTCCTGCTTCGTGGTGAGCGGTCTTACTTTGGTCAGTCCTCGCACATGGGTGCACCTCCATCCTGATGCAGGGGCGTTGACTTCGGCATCTTATGTTTCACGCATATGTATATGCGTCGAACGTTGTCTGCGGACAGTCTTTTGTATGGTGTACTGGCAGCATGACAGCGCGAGTTCTAAAGTGGAACTGAAATCGGTTCTGTATTTGAGGAAGAAAAACACTTACGTCATCTTCGTTTGGCCTCTAAGATCACGAATATCGAGATTATTTTTTAATTTGGTGTACGGAGACCGCAGAAAATCATTTTTTAAGCACCGCCGAAGCCCCTTCTTCCGTCATGTCCGGAGTTTTCGGAATCTCCGCTCTCGCGCAGCGCCTATCAAAGCTATGCACGCGGACTCGGAGTATTCACTGGACGCCATATTTGTGGGTGCTGTTTAGAGCGCATGCTCAGAACGAGCTCACATCAATAGGCTGCTAAGACCGGCACCCATGATGGTGCGGAATGCACGTGGCAAAAGAACTGTGGAAGCTCGCCATCACCACGCGCTCAGCATTCGCGCACACAGCTATGGCCGCCAGTGAATACTCCCTATTCTCAGAACGGTCAGAAAGAAACGTCACGACTTGTGTCGGTACGGCGTCTCGACTGGTGCCCCGTTCGTGCAAGGCTGCAAGCACGTGCACCATGTGCGTGAGGATGACTTTGGCAGGCTTGCTATTGCGCGCGCTTCCTTACACGAGCAAGAAATGCATGGATATAATTATAATGCAGTTAAATTAAACCGTGCCCATACTCTACCTAAGCGTAGCTCATGTAGTGGCTCTAGCTGAAACGAACTCATAGACGCTTCTTCCACTGAGCAGTTCCCCCCTCTCCCCTCACGGCTCGCCTCCCCAGAGCCTTATATGTTGAGAGTTTGGTCACTAATTGGTAAGAATAAGGCGAAAAAAACGGCACGCCATGGGCCGAAATTGTTTCAATGACCTTAAGCGCGATGACTTAGAGCTATGGTGACCAACCACCAGCCACGAATATTCCCTTAGCAGAGGCAATGAGCTTAACAAATACCCTCCAATCAAAATTTCTAGCTAAGAATGTATTCAAGTATTTCATTTCAGCAAGCTAGAATTAAAATTCGCGACTCCTCGGAACTAAAAGGGGAACGCACGAGACGATGTTGTCACGGCGACAATCAGAACCCACTCAATCTTTCTTTTGCTTGCCCGCCGCAGGCACGACGCAGTGAACGGTAAAAACTGCGAATTCGGCTCTGTGGGAGTTTTGACCCAGACCCCGAACGCGCAGCCCACATTCGCAGTTTCGCCTCATGTTTCAGGAAATTTTTCTCGTCAATGTCACCTTTCCCGGCTCAGTAAACGCTCTCAGCACCTTGAAGCTCCCTTTTTCCACCAAGCTCTTACAATTATACGTTCATGTACTTTCAGCCTCACTCAGAAACAAAAAATACCCGCGCCACGCTACGCGAATCCCTCAAGGTCATCCCAGCTCATTCTTACTTTGCAAGTTCATCACGGGGGGAATATGCGGCGCTGGCGGCGCCGCCGCATTCGCCGCTCCATCCCGGCTCCCGCCGGTTCCTCCCATTGGCTCCCGTCGTTCGACGCACCACCGTCTTGAAGACGGCAGCTATGGTAACTGCAGTGTATTCCATGGAATATATATGCTTTGAACCGCAGCGTCTAGATGGCGTTTCACCGTACTCTATGGAATACGCAGTTTTGACACGAAAATCTAGATGGCGCTTCAAACAACGGGGGACGGACCCCTCCGCGGGAGTTACACAACTTAGCTAATCTAGTAACGTTGGTGAAACTGTGAGGTCACATGACACCTCGACGGACGCCCCACGTCGTTTCGAGTGGAGGTAAGAGCCCATAACAGTTGTCGCTCTAAGATGAAAGATTGAAATTCGCGTTAGTGTCCTCTTTGGCAGCCCCGGTCCCTCTTCGGGGCTTAAGCCGGAGGACCCTTACCTGTCCCTCCTTTCCGTACGGCATGGCCCTGCGCGAGCCGTCTGGGTGGTGGATAAGCCTCGCCCGCATCGGAATGGCGTGCCGCTCGATGACCTCTTCCTCGAGCCCGAGCAGCGCCAGTGCCGCCCTCCCGCGGACAGACAGCGCCAGGTTGATGCTCCGACCGGGGACATGCTCCTGCAGTCGGATGTCTGCACTTCCCCGATCGACACCCAGAGGGAGCCACGTTAGTGATGCGGCACTCGTTAGGTGGCGCATGTTACCGCCCGATTAGAAGGCTTCAGCCGTAACTGTCCCTCTCTCCGCCTGTCCAGGTAGTGTCCGCAGGAAAGAGAGAGCATTTATTATCTAGAAATTATAAAATAAAATGCATAAACTACTAGTATATACTTTTATATATTATAAACCAATAATAGAAACAAAAACAAATAAAGAAACTAAGTAATTGTAACAGAAGTATCAGCTTTAGAAAACATCAACTGGCTTAAACATTTTGACCAATGCAATGAAGGTGCCATAGCCCTAATACGCAGTTCCTACCCAGTACGCAGACCCGTTTTCTCGCAGCGAAAAAGGGGAAGGGGCGGTTAAGGAAGGGGGTGTTAGCCTACTGCCGCCCCCCCCCCCCCCCCCCTTCCACCCCCCTTCTCTCCGTGCTGCGTAACACTATCGGTCTCGCGCGCTATGACGTCAAGCTCACAGATGCCACTCCGTTGCTGAGAATCTCTCCCGTGGCCTTGCTACGGTGCGATCAACATCAACACGGGCGAGCGAGGTTCGTGCAGGGTTCCCAAAAATAATCAGGGTCATATGATTCGCCACAATAAATAGTGTAAGGTTACTGCGCTTCTCTATTTAGTTCCCAGGGTTCTCAGCAAGTGTTTAGACAAACAACGACAACATAAACCACTACACAATAAGTTATACTATTTTACAGCTAAGCTCAGAAGGGAAAGAGTGCAGGCGAGCTGGTTAAACGACATAGTTGAAAAGCCCGAGAAAAAGGGGGAAAAAAAAAAAAAAACGGACAAGACAACAGAAGTTCTTAAACGCAGCTGAGTTCATTGACAGGGAAGCACCAGTAAATGCATTTTGAGACGGAAAAAGGGAAAGAGGTACCTTAAACCACGACTTAACAAGACCGACGGTCAGACCGGCTAAGCCTTTCGTAAACCCCTCCATGCACCTGGTGCGGAAACACACATACCCAACGAACTTAAAAACAGCCTTTTTTTTTTATTAATCGTTGAACGTTAATGTGGAAACTTTTCCCCTCTTGCTATACCGTTGTTTCATATAAAACCAAGCACTATTTTTATTAATAATTTATTTTCAAACGGGAGGACGTCGACTTGCACATCCGCTAAATTTCTAGATCGCGAAAAAAAAAAAAAAAAAGGGGGGGGGTGGTTAGGGTTTAGAACCAGACAAAACAAAAACAAAAAAAAAGAGAGAGTTAGGTTGAGAGATAAAAAAAGTGTATACAGCATTTCCACGTGTTTTATAGCTTCAACACGAGCGGCCGTGTTGAGTTATTTATAAAAACTTGTGGAGTAATGGACATGGACCTTCTTCTCGGTGCAGGCCTTGACGGTCACGTATTATCTTCGAGAGAAAACAAGCACAGCAATCGTTTGCAAATACCAGCGGCAACGGTGTAAGCACGGTGAATTAGTTTCTCTGATTCGCTATAGCACCGCGCCGCTATATGAAGCGATCCTTCGATAGAACAATTTCCCGAAAATATCATGCGACAAAGTGGCGCTTGATAACAGGAAGTTCGACGAAATGACATTCGATGAAATGGCCTTCGACAAAACGGCCTTCGACGAAACTGCATTCCACAAAATGGCGCTCAAACGGCGGAGTGGCGTTCGACACAATGGCTTTCGATTCAATGCAACGAATCTGACCTATAGCCCACTGATGCAAGGACCTCGCGTTCACCTCGGAGCCTTTCGTTTGAAGCTTTATAACTGTTGGCATGGAATATAACGAAAAATAATCCCCGGAGAAGGGGAACAAGAGGGACAAAGGACAAACACAAATCTCCAAAAGTGCAAGCGAGACAAGAATGACAAAAATAATCCCTGGAGAAGGGGAACAAGCTGTGTTTGGAGATTTATGTTTCTCCTTTGCCCCTCTTGTTCCCCTTCTCCGGGAATTATTATCGTTATTCTTGTCCAGCTCGCTTGCACCTTTGCATTTAATTGCATTCTAATAATAACCTTAAATTGCAAGCTTCACCCTTGTTGGTGTTAGACTGGTGGCGGCTGATAAAATCCGTTTGCTCTACTGACGTCTAACCCCTGGTTAGCTCAGTTGGTAGAGCGCTCCACCTGTAATGAAAAGGTCCCGGGTTCGATACCCGGACCAGGCGGATTTTTTTCGGTTGCGCAGCAGTCACCTAGTTGTGTTTGGAGATTTGTGTTTGTCCTTTGTCACTCTCGTTCCCCTTCTCCTGGGATTATTTTCGTCATTCCTGTTCAGCTCGTTTGCACCTTTGCATTTAATTGCATTATAATCAATGGAATATATGCTTATTTTCGGTACTTCTTTCGCTCCACAAGGCGTATCGCACGCTTCACGGCGTCTGTGAAGCAACTGCGTATAAAAGACGCTTCGGATTTCGTCACTGTATGGCCTCCGAGAATGCAGCGCAAAAGAATTTTGCAACAAGAGAAAGTTGTGCGAACTCAGGTCGTTGGGAAACGACGTCGATTAACCCTTTCTTTTTTTTTAATACAATTTATGTCGCAATGCAGGAAAGTTTCTACTTGTTCCTTTGCATGCACGTAGATTTGAACAGATCAGCTCTCTCGTGTCAACGCTCGTGCTTTTAAAAACATTTTTTTTTTTTTACTTTTTGCATCGGAAGGTTTTATGCAACTGATCGATGTTTCTGTGCACAACTCGCGAAAAAAACACATGTAGAGCCGCATGCAATCACATTGCTCGTAAATCATTAAAAAAAAAAAAACAGTGTTTTTGCCAGGGACTCAAACCGAAAAATATAACGTTTCGGTTACGGTTACGGTTACCGCTTCCTGTTGATAACGGTTTCGTTTCGGTTTTTTACGGTTTTAATTTTTGCGGTTTCGGTTACCGGTTACACGTTCATAAAAACCGGTTTATTTCGGTTTTTCCAATAATTTGTCTAATTGAAATGCTAGACAGCCATTTTACAAAAAAACTGTTTAAAGTAGTCTCAGATATCCAATAACGTGAAATACAAGGAACCTAGAAACGTCTTAATACTTCTAATTGGTCAAAAGTTGCACACGTTCCTAGCTCCAACTCTTGTTCACTACATCTACTTACATTATTTAGTTTGATGCCCGAGCATACATGTTACTTCTAGTACTCGGGGATCATCGCGTTCTATATAATAGAAATTAAAATAAACACCGCTACTCTGTTGTTTGGCACCATTTATAAACAATTACCCTAAGAAAGTTCCCACTTGATGCTGGAAGAACCATTCGCACTTTCTCGTCGCTACAGTTGATTTCAACCTCATACATGCAGGCGAGTCTTCGCTTCACTGAAGGAAGGAACAGAACTACAGCCATCCACTAGTAAAATACTGCTAAGTGGAATGAAGTAATAAAATTGAGAGCTGGGCTGGGCGGGCCGTGAGGCAAGAAGCCTTCGTGCAGCGAATGGAAAGTCCGCCGTAGTCGGGCGGCCCGTGAAAACTACTTGCCTCACTAAACACTGCCCAGTCGACATCAGGTGCCTGCTGGGTCGAGTGGACTGGCGGTGTAGGGCCCGTCGCTTTTGACTTGTAGGCAGTGCTACCCAGGTCCGACTGAGAGTCTTCGACGACGCTTTGTTTGTCTGTAGTGTGTTCCTTTGTGTTGGTGTGGTTTTCCTCCTTGCCATCGTACGTGTCGAAGGAGCCGTCATCGGCGTGGGGCTCAATGACTGTCGGTCCTGCTGAGCCACTCCAGGATTCGCTCGGTGGCGGTGGTTGTCGAGTCGGGATCCAATGGGTCGTTTTCTTCGATCCAAGATCAAGCTCGGGCACGGTCGGCCGAGACGCCAGCCTCGCAAAGAGCATGGGCGAGAATGTCCTCGACAGGAAAAACGCACAGGAGCGTCGAGGAGACGACTGTGCCGTCGATGACGGCACTGGTGGGTTTCGAAGACTCAGCGTAGCTGCCCGACTCACGATTAGGGGGCCTCTTCGACTTGGTGTCTGGGCGGTAGCTGGTGTGCGCGGGAGCACGAGGCGTGTGGCGTCCGCGTCGAGGCTGGTTGGGTAGCTGGTCGGGGAGCTCTCTGAAAACCTCAGACTCGAATCCTCGACGTCTGGGATAGGACTGCCGTCCTACAGTTCCCTCTCGCGACGACGTGGAAGAGTTCCAGTCTATCGAAAATGAGGGGCTGGTGTTCGGGGAGCATGTCATCCCAGTAGAACCGATGGCGGGGGAGATGCCTGATCTCATGGACATCTCTCGTGGAGAAACCTATGGTGTCCTGGGCGAGGTCCTTCAGAATGTCGTAGGCATGACGGACCCTCGCTCCGGCATGGGTGGTGGGGGCTCTATCAGAGGTAGTTGGATTGCGCTGGTGGCTCTGGTAGAAATGATTCTCGTAGAAGCCATACCTCCGGCGGTGGCAGGGGGAGGCCTCCGGCGATGCTGGAAGCGATCTCTCGGCGCGTCTGTGGATGTTCGAGCTCACCGTGCCGACGTTCGAATAGCTCGCGTTCACAGTTTTGCGAGAGAGACTGTTGAGACTGCTGGCCGTGTGGGGCGAGATTGGCCAGGCCATCGACGATTGGAAGCAGGGCAGCTCCCAAGGTTCAGGCGAAGGAGGCAGAAATTGCATCTCATGTCTGTTGGACGAGGGTGGCGCGTTGGCGCGTTTGACGAGGAGTCATCCTTCTCCATGGCTTTTTCTTTTGTCATGTTGAGAAGCTGAGAGGCGTGGCAGTGCCGGCGACGGTAAAGCCCCTCTATCCTGGGAAAAGTGGCGCCGTTCATTGTTGTCAAATGCTCGAGGCACGTGCGACGCGCTACTTCTGGGAAATTCATGCCGTCTGAAATAGCTAAGTGTTGCGCTGTGCCGCCATGATCTTCCCAAGGGCTGCACGTTGCACGTGCCTTGTGCATCGACGAACATTGCGCTACTTTTGAAACATGAAGGGGCTTTAGGCGGCGGGTGCCACTCGGTTTGAAGAAGG